ACCATCGGTGACCATCATCCCGAGGTCCCCAGCCAGGAAGCCTAACGGGGCCTATGCGACCTAGTCTCCTGTTTAGGGTTTTCATACCCTCATGCCAGGTCTTAGCTTGACCGCCCTTTGTTTTTTTCCAATCACTACCAGCCTTGGCAAACATCGTTTGCCGTGGTAACCTATCTGGAGACATGCGTAGCACATGTCCCAAGACGACCTTCCTGAATTTGAATCAGTGTGCCGTCAGACTTCTTAATTACCTCACTTACGCCTGCTTTCCTTGGTCCTGTACTCCTAATTAAATGAAAAAGATTGCGACTATTACCAATAGCCGCAGCCTTCTCCATCTCTCTACACTTTCCTACCCACCATTTCTCGCGGTCGTTCTTCAGACTCTCGATGAGCTGGCGTTTAAGGGATTTGCGCGCTTTGTCGTATCTTGAATCCGATGGAATGGCTTTGCGAGCGTCCATCAGGGCAACCGAGGTTGAGATCCATCGTTTTTGCTTTGATCGTGCGCCAGAGCAAAGGGCCATTACCTTCAACGTCTCGCGATCGATACATTCTGACGCACAGACGAATACTCCCCATTGCCATTGGTCTTCACCTGTCCAGATATGCACTCGTCTACTGCCAAACATTTTTGGTTTGGGCATGTCAGCCTATATCCGTTTGCATCGGAGTCCATCGTTATTGTCACCTGAACTATCAACTTTCTTACGAGATAAAGGAGTGGCCATCAGTCATACCTTTCTTTAATTCTTTGTGTCCAGCATCCAGTCCTCTTTATTTGCCCCTCCTTCCAGCCTCTAATAGTCCCTCAGGCAACCTAGATGTCGCTCGCCAAAGGTCGTTGCCAAATAGCACTGTAAGTATTGTACCACGAAGTGCATTACCGATTCTAAAGCCTCGTCAATCACGTAATTTGGGGGCCTTCAACGTGAGGACTTGGATGCAGCTAGGTCAACAAGCTTGTCTGACTCGTATAGTGGAATCCTTAGGGGTCGATATTTGCTGCATATCGGAAACTCGAATCCAGGATCCTACTATTATAAGCCACTTGAGCGCACCAAATTCACCGAGATACGATCTCTGCACATCAGACGATGCTGGAGCTCGTTCATTAGGTCAGTGCGGGGTAGGTATTGTACTAAGTAACAGGGTTCAGTCCTCTCTTATAGACTGGATCCCTGTCAACAGTCGTTTATGTGCAGTGTCTCCAGGGTTCAATCACCGTCCAGAAGGGAAGCAACACCAAGAGGTGTTTGTTCATCGTATCGGCATATGCGCTGACCAACTGCAGTTCTGAAACACAAAAGGACGCTTTCTACGAGGAACTCAGCGATCTCATGCGACTTAGTCGAAGCTCCGACATAATTGTACTTGCAGGTGACTTTAACGCGCAAGCTTGAAAAATGAGCGCATCAGAAGCTTGCTTAGGCAGGAGTTGTGCTCTATCCTGCCAACGAATAGATAACGGTGATAGACTTCTTCAGTTCTGCGCAGATCATGATCTGTTCCTATCATGCACCAACTTCGAACACAGCTCTCGAAGGACGGCAACCTCGTGCTCCAGTTCAACTGGTACGCTAACTCAAATCGACCACATAGCAGTAAGCTACCGTTGGCGTGGCTCAGTGCAAAATTGCAGGTCCCATTGGACCACCTGTGTTGAGTCTGACCACGCACTAGTTTTGATGCAGTTCACTCTCCGACTGACTGATGGGTGACAAAACCAGTAAACTCGGATAGCTCATCAACAACTATCTGTTCCAGCAGTTCACGCACTCTATGAGTCAGAGCTAGTGCGTGGACTAAGCGCGCCTCAACCTGATGAAGTAGATGAGCAGTGGGATCAGATTAGGCGAACAATGCATTCCGCAGTGAACGTTGCCTGTGGGTCTGAGCCTCAAGCTCATCGGAGGCATTGTATATCTCAGAAGTCAGTAGCCCTGATAGAGTAAAAACCTCAATTCCCAACATGCCAGGATCAAAACAGGGTTAGGTAGCATCTACAGCGTTAGCTTACGAAGAGCCTCAAGAAGGACCGTGAGAGCTGCTGGGCAACAACAGCTCGTGAGATGGAAGTAGCAGGTGCATCAGGGAATAGTCAAAGACTGCTCCGACTGAGGGAGGTCGGCGAATTCCAGTTAGTGAAACTGTCTGTGATAAGATGGGACAAGCTGTTCACAACAGGGATCAACGGCTTGATCGCTGAGCAGAATACTTCAGCGAACGGTTCAACTGGCCTGCCGCTAACCAGGTTGACTCATCCGCAACTGAAGCTCCTTGGGTAGTGTCGTGCGATCCTCCAACGGAAGCAAAATTTCGGCCTTGCATTCAGGCTCTGAAGCGAGCTAAGGCAGCATGACCACATGAGCTCCCTCCCACTCTTTTCAAGATGGGGTTTATTACCTTGTAAGCTCTATTACTACCTTGCTGTGCAACATTTGGACGCAAGAGCGCATTTCTTCATTTTGGGGTGAATCACTGATCGTTCCCATTTTTAAGAAAGGATCTAGCAACCATTGCGGAAACCACCGCGGGATCAGTTTGATCCCAATCGTCACCAAAGTGCTAGCCTCGGTCATATACTTTGAAGTCTGACGCCTTTAAGAGGTACAAACATCCGTGAACAGCAAGCCGGATTCAAGCTTGGTCGTCGATGTATTGATCAATTTTTTACGTTGCAGCAGGTCCTTGAGCTGCGTCATACTCACCGCCGACCAACGATTGCAGGATTTCTTGACCTAAAAGGAGGTTTTGACTCAGTTGACCACGAAGCTCTGATGGGTTCTCTTCTTTGAAAAGGAATGCCCCAGAAGTACGTTAACTTACTGAGGTCACTGTACTCACATACCTCTGGTCGTGTAAGGGTTTATGATGAACTAAGTAGATCGTTCGTCACCAGCAGCGGCGTTCGTGTGCGATTTAGAATACGCCGATGACGTCGTCTGTCTGTTCGAATGTACGGAAGGCGCGCAAAACACACTTGATAGACTAACAAGTGCAGTTGCCACATTCGGTATGTGCTTTGCACCCTCAAAATGATAAGTAATGCTGCAAGATTGGGTGACGCCGAATTCTGTTCTAAAACTGGACGGTTAGGAATAAGGAATGGTGGATTACTCTTCCTAATTAGGCAGCTGCATGACCAATGACGGTAGTGTAGCAAAGGAGATAACCGCCCGCATTTCCAAGGCTCGAACAGCATACACAGGACTGAAACATATTTGGTGTGGATGGGACGTTTCACCGAAATTGAAAGGTCGTGTATATTGTGCTGGCGTTCGTTCAGTTCTGCCTCATGTTTGTGACCTTGAATTTGCGAGTAGATATTCGTCGACTAGACATTTTCGATTATGGTTGTTTACGAACGGG